GGCCAAAAAGACCCCTTTTTTGACCTGCTTGTGGGTTAACATGTTCGACAAAAATATTCCTTGTATTTTTAGCTGTAATATTGCCAAAGACAATATATATCTAAAATGCACGGATTCCGAGGAATCCAAATTTCTAAAAGTATTTCAAAAAAGGACCAAAAAGACCCCTTTCTTGGCTCGCTTGAGGATTAAAATGTTCTACAAAAATATTCCTCGTATTTTTAGCTGTAATATTACCGAAGACACTGTATACCTAAAATGCGCTGATTCCGAGGAATCTTAATTTTCAAAAGTATTTGAAAAAATGACGAAAAATACCCCTCGTGACTTGCTCGAGGATTAAAATTTTCGGCCAAAATATTCCTCGTATTTTTATCCCAAGACATTAAATAGCAACAATGTATGGATTCCAAGGAATATTTAGCCGAAAATTTTCAAAAATGTTGAAGAGGGGGGAATTTGCTCCCCTCTACAGTAAACTACGGATAAATGCACATCGTTTTTCTAGTAAGTTTTTGTGCACTTATCCGTTTTTTGCATTTATGCAAACCTCGGATAAATGCACAACGATTGCATTTACACTAACATTGCATAACTGCATGATAATTGCATTTATGTAAACATTGTTCCATTTTTAGAAAACAATTATTACATGAAAATATTAAGAAAAGAACTATTTTTAAATAATTTTTTTATTTTATTTGTATTTAATCCACATTGTACGCTTATGAACATACATATATTAAAAAACTTAAAAATTAGTTCAAACAATTTATAAAGTAAAAAAAATCACAAAGTTAATTTTTTGGTTTTAGTTTTCTTATTTTCTGACCAAGTGTCCGGCATTTTATGCATCGACAACTTGAAGGAAATAGAAAAAATCAGTTCTGTTCAGAAAAATTATTTATCTTAAAACTTGTTTTTATAAAAAAAATTGAGATTTACTCATGTGTACTAAAAAATCTGAGATCTTTTTTTGAATCAAACTTTCTGTCTTTAGCTTCAATAATGCATCTTCCATTTTTTCAAAATCAAAATCCAAGTTATTGCTTTCACAATAGTTTTTGAAATGTTGTATGCTTTATAGCCTCCGTGCGACTAGGAAGAGGATCTACGGCACAATCGGAATCGTCAACACGCTCATCAATATGATCAGGAATTTTATCTCCGTTTACCCAACCAATTTCCTTTAAAATATCGCTTTCAGTAAGATCACCGTAGCATTCTAAATTGTCGTCACAGTCTATAATAGAAGAAAACTCTTTTTCCGGAATTGGGGGTAAATCGATGGTTTCACAATCCTCTAGAACATTCGTTTCTTCTTCATGATTTATGAACCCGGCTTTTTTAAAACAGTTTTTAATCACCGTAGGCGTTACAAGCCACCAAGCCCTTTTGATCATTTTAAGTGCTTGCAGAACAGTTATCCTTTTTGAAAAATTTTCAGATGACATACCTCCCTCCAGAGCCAATAACTGTTTACGGATTAGGCATGAGCGGTATTGCACTTTAAAGTTTTAATTATGCCCTGATCCAGAGGTTGGATGAGGGATGTTGTATTTGGTGGCAAGTAATGTATTTTTATATGTTTAAAAATAACCTCATTGGGAATCTTATGACAGCTTGCGTTATCAACAAAAAGAACAATGTTCTTTTTCAGGATTTTGTCGAAGTTGTTTAAAATTTCAATCCATATGGAAGTCGTCATCCACGCATTAGGTTGTCCATAATATTTGATTGGCATCGTTTTTCCCCTGCAGCAATGTGGATTATTTGCTTTTCCAATCACATACACATGCTTATCAGACCCGTCCGAATTACATAAAAATAGGAGAGTCAATCGCAGTTTGGAAATTTTTCCACCAAACACTGACTCGCCTTTTGATGCATATGTCCCTGTAGGTAGTGCCTTATAAAATAGTCCTGCCTCATCGGCATTGTACACTTGATCAGGAGATAAGTTTTTGATTAAATTTGGTAGGGTTGATTTTGTCCAAACTCCAGCAGCCCCATAGTCAGCAGCAGCCTTTTCCCCGCAAATTTTTCGAAAAGTAATGTTTTGATTTTTTTTCCAGCGCTGCAACCAACCATCGTTTGCTTCAAAATTATCAATTTTCATTGAAATAGCAAACTGATTAGCTCTTTCACATATCATTGGCCCTGTAATGACTGCATTCTTTGATCTCAAGTCTTTAAACCATGTTGTAACGGCCTTGTTTACCATGTCATAATGCCCTGGTTTAAAGCGTTTCCGCATGATATTCTCCTGGCCAGTCCTTGAAGCTTCAAACTTTCCTTGATTTTTTAAAATTCTTGAGACTGTTGATATATTAACTTTATACTTATCAGCTAGGTCCTTTCGACTGCAGCCGGTTTTAAAAGACTCAATTAATCTCAACTTTTCCTTTACGGTGAGCGTATGTTTTGAGCTCATGGTTGTCTGTTAGGAACAAAAATATTAACATATTTAAATCAAAAGTCAATAAAAAGCTCATGAACTTACAAAAACCATAGATATGTTTTATCCAGCAATAAAATACGCAAATAAAGACAGCTGATTTTATTTATTCACATGTGCTGCTCATTTCTGAGGAGTTGGATAAAAGTGTAGTATGTTTATTAGAGATGTGCATTTATAAATGTAAACTGACACTAAAAAAGTACTTTTGGTTTGGAAAACTCATGCATATATGAGTTGTTTGCATTTATGGCGTGTTGCATTTAACCGGGTATTTTTGCATGTAAACCGTAAAAAAGACTCGCGGCTTCAATTGGACATGCACTTATGCGTTTTTTGCATTTATCCGTTTTGCATTTATCCGTCGTTTACTGTATTTAAGTTGCTTTGCGTTGTAAATATTCAAAACGCCCAGATACACGTGTCTTCTTTTTTTAGCTCTACCTTCATAAGCTGCAGGATTTTTCCAGTGATTATTTATTTAAGTAATTTATGTTATTTTTTTATTTTATTTATTTTATTTATTTTATTTGTTTTATTTATTTATTTATTTATTTATTTTATTTATTTTATTTATTTTATTTATTTTATTTATTTATTTATTTTATTTATTTTATTTATTTTATTTATTTTATTTATTTTATTTATTTTATTTATTTTATTTATTTTATTTATTTTATTTTATTTTATTTTATTTATTTATTTATTTCATTATTTTATTTATTTTATTTATATTATTATTTTATTTATTTTATTATTTTATTATTTTATTTATTTTATTTATTTTATTTTATTTTATTTATTTATTTTATTTATTTTATTTATTTATTTATTTATTTTATTTATTTTATTTTATTTATTTATTTACTTATTTATTTTATTTATGTTATTTTTTTTTATTTTTATTCATTTTTTATTATTATTTAATTTTTTTTTTTTTTTTTTTTTTTTTTTTTTTGACAGAATTACATAAAGCCTCCATAATTTTTCAATTTTTAAAAATAAATTTCCCATTCTCTAACAAAATTCTTAAACAATTCTCCTCTGTTCTTTATTTGTTTAGACATAAAGTAGCTACAGTTTTTTCTTCAATTACAAACCCATTAAATCCCCATTTTTAATATTTAACCCTAAAATCAACACCAAAACATTCACTACAATGCCCTAAAAACCGAAAAAACGATGCTTTAAACCACGCCACACATCCAACATTTCACAATCCCTACCTTCTAAACAAATATAAATACACTTTCCTTAATTTATGAAGAAACCAAAAAAAAAGAAGAAGAACAACAACAAAAATTACTTATCACCCAACAAACAATGAGAAGAGATTTTTCGTAGTTGTTGTTACTGTTTCTCCCATCCATTTATTTAATCAAACATGCACTTGTTTCATTGCACTGCAACGGGATTTGCTTAGATCTCAAATCTCAGCCGCTCATTTGGCTGTGTAATGAGAGAGGGAGAGAGAAAGAGACAGACAGAGAAATGTATCATCATAGCCATGTAAAAACAAACGACGCTAATGCCGTTGCTAATGATATCATTTGTCTTATCTGTGGCTGATGGTGCTGCTGCTGCACTCTAGGAAACACTGAATGGCTGGCTGGCTATCTGTTGTGGCAGAGATGAGCAAATGCATGAACAAACAGAACAGAACTGACGAACTCACACCACAAATTGAGGCCATAAAATGATTTATTGAAACGTTTTAGAGAGTAAAGATGTAAATGCTTTGAATTTAAGTTTTTTTTTGTGGTTTATTTAAGAGGTTTTTAAAGAAGCATAAAAAATGTTTCCATCAAAATAAATTAAAAAACTAAAGACCTAAAAAAAATTTAAAAAAGTTTCCTTAACTATTTAATAAATAAATCAAAAAAAAAATTATATATATATATATATATATATATATATATATATATATATATATATATATAATTTTTTTTGATTTATTTATTAAATAGTTAATAGCTATATAAAATTATATATATATATATATATAAAAATTAAGAACAAAAAATATATTTTTTAAAAAATCCAAGTCTGCTGGTTAATTGATAAAATATTTTTTTTTAAAAAAATCCACGTCTGCTGGTTAATTGAAAAATATTTTTTAAAAAATCCACGTCTGCTGGTTAATTGAAAAAATATTTTTTAAAAAATCCACGTCTGCTGGTTAATTGAAAAATATTTTTTAAAAAATCCACGTCTGCTGGTTAATTGAAAAATATTTTTTAAAAAATCCACGTCTGCTGGTTAATTGAAAAAATATTTTTTAAAAAATCCACGTCTGCTGGTTAATTGAAAAAATATTTTCTAAAAAATCCACGTCTGCTTGTTAATTGAAAAAATATTTTTTAATAAATCCACGTCTGCTGGTTTATTGAAAAAATATTTTTTAATAAATCCACGTCTGCTGGTTAATTGAAAAAATATTTTTTAAAAAATCCACGTCTGCTGGTTAATTGAAAAAATATTTTTTAAAAAATCCACGTCTGCTGGTTAATTGAAAAATATTTTTTTAAAAAATCCACGTCTGCTGGTTAATTGAAAAAATATTTTTTAAAAAATCCACGTCTGCTGGTTAATTGAAAAAATATTTTTTAAAAAATCCACGTCTGCTGGTTAATTGAAAAAATATTTTTTAAAAAATCCACGTCTGCTGGTTAATTGAAAAAATATTTTTAAAAAATTCACGTCTGCTGGTTAATTGAAAAAAATTTTTTTAAAAAATCCACGTCTGCTGGTTAATTGAAAAAATATTTTTTTAAATAATCCACGTTTGAAGCTTTATTGAAAAAATATTTTTTAAAAGATCCACGTTTGAGGGTTTATTGAACAAATATTTTTTAAAAGATCCACGTTTGAGGGTTTATTGAAAAAATATTTTTTTAAAAAATCCACGTTTGAGGGTTTATTGAAAAAATATTTTTTAATAAATCCACGTCTGCTGGTTAATTGAAAAAATATTTTTTAAAAAATCCACGTCTGCTGGTTAATTGAAAAAATATTTTTTAAAAAATTCACGTCTGCTGGTTAATTGAAAAATATTTTTTTAATAAATCCACGTCTGCTGGTTAATTGAAAAAATATTTTTTAAAAAATCCAAGTCTGCTGGTTAATTGAAAAAATATTTTTTAAAAAATCCACGTCTGCTGGTTAATTGAAAAAATATTTTCTAAAAAATCCACGTCTGCTTGTTAATTGAAAAAATATGTTTTAATAAATCCACGTTTGCGGTTCATTGAAAAAATATTTTTTAATAAATCCACGTCTGCTGGTTAATTGAAATAATATTTTCTAAATTGAAAAAATATTTTTTTTAAAAAAAATCCACGTCTGCTGGTTAATTGAAAAAATATTTTTTAATAAATCCACGTCTGCTGGTTAATTGAAAAAATATTTTTTAATAAATCCACGTCTGCTGGTTAATTGAAAAAATTATTTTTTAAAAAATCCACGTCTGCTGGTTAATTGAAAAAATATTTTTTAATAAATCCACGTCTGCTGGTTAATTGAAAAAACATTTTTTAAAAAATCCACGTCTGCTGGTTAATTGAAAAAAATATTTTTTAAAAAATCCACGTCTGCTGGTTAATTGAAAAAATTATTTTTTAAAAAATCCACGTCTGCTGGTTTATTGAAAAAATTATTTTTTAAAAAATCCACGTCTGCTGGTTAATTGAAAAATATTTTTTAAAAATCCACGTCTGCTGGTTAATTGAAAAAATATTTTTTAAAAAATCCACGTCTGCTGGTTAATTGAAAAAATATTTTTTAAAAAATCCCCGTCTGCTGGTTAATTGAAAAAATATTTTTTAATAAATCCACGTCTGCTGGTTAATTGAAAAAATATTTTTTTTTTAAAAAAATCCACGTCTGCTGGTTAATTGAAAAAAATATTTTTTAATAAATCCACGTCTGCTGGTTAATTGAAAAAATATTTTTTAAAAAATCCACGTCTGCTGGTTAATTGAAAAAATATTTTTTAAAAAATCCACGTTTGAGGGTTTATTGAAAAAATATTTTTTTTAAAAAATCCACGTTTGAGGGTTTATTGAAAAAATATTTTTTAAAAAAATCCACGTTTGAGGGTTTATTGAGAAAATATTTTTTAAAAAATCCACGTCTGCTGGTTAATTGAAAAAATATTTTTTACAAAATCCACGTCTGCTGGTTAATTGAAAAAATATTTTCTAAAAAAATCCACGTCTGCTGGTTAATTGAAAAAATATTTTTTAAAAAATCCACGTCTGCTGGTTAATTGAAAAAATATTTTCTAAAAAATCCACGTCTGCTTGTTAATTGAAAAAATATTTTTTAATAAATCCACGTTTGCGGTTCATTGAAAAAATATTTTTTAATAAATCCACGTCTGCTGGTTAATTGAAAAAAATATTTTTTAAAAAAATCCACGTCTGCTGGTTTATTGAAAAAATATTTTTTAATAAATCCACGTCTGCTGGTTAATTGAAAAAATATTTTTTAAAAAATCCACGTCTGTTGGTTAATTGAAAAAATATTTTTTAAAAAATCCACGTCTGCTGGTTAATTGAAAAAATATTTTTTAAAAAATCCACGTCTGCTGGTTAATTGAAAAAATATTTTTTTAAATAATCCACGTTTGAAGCTTTATTGAAAAAATATTTTTTAAAAGATCCATTTATTGAACAAATATTTTTTAAAAGATACACGTTTGAGGGTTTATTGAAAGCATATTTTTTTAAAAAATCCACGTTTGAGGGTTTATTGAAAAAATATTTTTTAAAAGATCCACGTTTGAGGCTTTATTGAAAAAATATTTTTTAAAAGATCCACGTTTTAGGGTTTATTGAAAAAATATTTTTTAAAAAATCTACGTCTGCTGGTTAATTGAAAAAATATTTTTTACAAAATCCACGTCTGCTGGTTAATTGAAAAAATATTTTTTAAAAAATCCACGTCTGCTGGTTATTTGAAAAAATATTTTTTAAAAAATCCACGTCTGCTGGTTAATTGAAAAAATATTTTTTAATAAATCCACAAAAATTACAGAATGTTCCTTCAAAAATAATAATTTTTAATATTGTTTTTATTTTATTTATTTATTTATTTATTTTTGATTCAATCTAAATATTTTATTTTACTTGTCATCCAATATTCGTAATTCTAATTTTTTACGCTTTT